TTTGATTGTATAACATCGATTTTGTGAATGGAGATGCGCTTAAAAGGCGGGGTTCTTATTAATGCATGACAATGTATTGGAAAACAATGATGTAACTGTTACATATATTCCGTAATATATAGTTGTTACCGACTGTTTCGGAAGAATTTTGTGCGCCTTGAACTTTGGTTTTTTAGTGTAGTCTTATATATTTATGGAGTAGTAGTTCAATTTATAGAAGTTAGTGATCATATGTTTTAAGTAGTACTATAATAACTTATTGAATATGTTGAATGTGACCACTCATTACGAAAGATGAAAATACACTTAAAATATTCCTTTCCTCAAGCTCATTAGCCACATATTTTCTTATTTATTTAATAGTTGGAATATTTTAATCTTTATATGTTTCACATATTCTTCTTTTACTATATTTTATTTATAATTGTATTGAATTATCATATTGTAAAACAATTAGCAAATTTTGTCTCAAGTAAAATTTTAAGAAATGATTTTTATAACTTTTACAAATAATCAATTAACCGTTAACGTTCAAAGTGTTGTGACTAAATAAGAACGGAAGTAATATTAGTCTTGAACTAAAAGATAAATTGTGGTGTATATGCATTACTTTAGAGAGAGAGAGAGAGAGAGAGAGAATACACCAATAATGTTGATCTTAGGATTTAGAATCCATATCAATAAATTAATTTTGGGGTGAGTATAAATGAAATAAATTAATTTTAAAAAAAAAAATCAATTTTTATAAAATGAATACATGTGGTTGTTTGTTCATAATTTTCTAATTTAAGTGCCAAAATAGTTGAATCTATCTAGTCTTTTCAATTCAACCATACATGTTTTCAAGTTATAATTACAAACTCCTCAAATGTGCTAAATTAGACTTAAATAATATGTGCTAGTTAAATACACATATGCCTGACTTATCAAATCACACTAGACTGGACCAAAAATATTTGTACATTGCATAAACAATGGCTAACAGACAATAATAATAATTATATATGTAGTGCAATGAATAATATATTTGAAAATGTAAATATCTTTGGCACATTAAAGTTAGAGGCTTGGAGTGAGCTCAACCAAGGCCATACAATTAAGCTTCAAAACGTAACGAACCAATCATTTGCTAAACTTTCTCCCTTAAAAGCGGAGAAAGCACAAAAAAATATTTGATTTAATTCATTCTGTATGCAAAATTATTAAATAGGTAAGCAATATCAGTGTTGGTGAAGTTTCCCACAATATATAATTATTTGGATATATAGTACTTCTTCAAAAGTTGAAAGGAATAGTGCGTGGAAAACCATCTGCAAGCCCGGGTAGCCATGGACGATCACAAGTCTGAGGGGCTGTCCTGGGCTGACCAGTGGGACCCAGAGCCTCTTCCTACGGCCGGAGATGACCGAAGAAAGGGGAACAAGGATACCGGCAAGAGCAACGTTGCAAAGAAGTTTTTGACCTTTCAATGGGTTAAGAAAATTTCCAAGAAACCTGATAGTAACCAGAAGCATTGAGCAGAAAAATAGTTATTGGAAATTGATGGAATATATGTAATGAAATTCTTGTTTAGATGGATCTCAAGTCCTATATAATGTTTAAATTATGATAATCTTTTGAATTTGTTTAGAAATTGATCAAAATAGGAGTAAACTATACACAAACATCTAATTAAAAAAAGTCTAAATAGGAATGCATATATCATATTCTGATCGAAAATAAAACAATTTATCCTCTTTGAATAAAATTGCTAACTTTTACTATTATTTAGAGATTTTTCTCTATTTTCACTCTTTTAAGTAAATAAATTGATTTGATGAAATGATATGGTCACCGTCTATTAGGAAAACAAACGTGTTGTGTAATTTTACATTTAATCATAGATATTGTTGCAATTCATAAGTCATTGATGATTTGAGATTTATTATTTGGACAATTTATGAGTTATTGCTAATTATTTTTAAAATGTTATTAGTACAACACAATACACATAAGAGAATTTTATTCTATTAGAGAAGATATTTGCTCACACATAAGATTTTTTATGTTCATACATATACATTAAAATAATTGCATACCTTTTTGGCATCGGAAATATTTTTCTAGGTTCTTAAAAAAACAGTTCATGCTAAAAAATATTTCCATTTTGATAACGGGGTGCAATTTTCACAATCATTCTTGGTGTCCACATTTTTGTAAACGCCCTATTTTTTGTCTATGTAAACGAACAACTTCTACATTGTGTTAATACGAGTTGTGTGTGGACAAAATAGGGACGTGTACAAAAGGATTTTTTTCTTTTTGATGAAACATATATGTCATATTTCTATATACTTTATATATCAAGCAAGTTACTTTTGTAGAACATGGAGCTAAGTGGCTTTTATTTTGATGTTTTTCACCTTACTAAAAACATGATGCTAATTCCATTTATCCTACGGAAATGTAGCATTTTGTTGGGAAAAAACACTCCGGACTTTCCCGCTTCGTGAAGTTAAGATAGGCACTTAGGAATCAAGGTAGCAATGGGAGCACACGATTTAAATTCTCCAATATGGAGATTCTTCCACTATACAAAAGAATAGTAGGATTTACAAGGATGTTACAAAATTGTCTCACTCAATGGTGGTTCACTCAAGCTTGAGGATAGGAACTTCCCAAGCTATCTCTCTTCTCTCTCAAAGAGGCTCTCTAACTCTCTAGCTTTCTCACTCTAAAAAGTGGATTCTCTCTTGCTAGGATTGTTAGGAATGGAGGCTCCTACTCCTACTTATACAACTCCACCTCCATAATGAGTGGTGGAGAGTAGTTCTCTAGAATGATCTACACATGACTACCTATTCTAGAGAATTCCAAGGAATCTCTACACCTCACCATTCTCTTCCATATGCTTCCATACTCTTCCATAGGCTTCCGGAAGGTTCCACACATCTCTAGAATATTCTAGAGGATTCCACATGGTTCCACAAGCTTCTAGAGAGTTCTAGACTTCTCTAGGATTCTCCGGAACGTTCTAGAAAATTATATACTTCTCTAGAAAGCTCTAGAATTTTCTAGAACCTCTCCAATTAAGGAGGGATCCCAACAAATCTCCCTCTCCCGACTTAATTGGGAGGTAGTAGCAAACCTGCACCTTGACAGCAGTCTTCGAACTTGTTTGTCGGTATTACTTTGGTCATCATGTCTGACTAGTTTTCGTCTGTGTGAACCTTGTCAAGATGAAATTTCTTTTCTCGAGAACTTCTCGGCAATATCTTTACCATGGGAGAGAATTTCTCTTCATTGTGCATGCCTTTTTCTTGTTGGAATCCTTTGATGATGAACCGAGCTTTAGAGCGAGACTTCAAGCTTCTATCTTCGGTCTTGATTCGATATACCCACTCATCTCTTCTCCCTTTTGGCAGCTCCACAAGTTCATGAGTGTGATTCTCATGCAAGGATTGCATCTCTTCTTGCATGGTTTTTCTCCACTCTTCTTTATGAATATTATTGATTGCTTCTTTGTAACTTTGCGGCTCCCCCTCATCCGTGAGTGTGATGTAGTCCTCAGTATTATACCGGATGGATGGTCTTCTCTCCCTAGAGGATCGCCTCGGCTCTGGTGCTGGCAGAGAACTAGATTGAGGATCTTCCTGATTTGATTCATCATGAGACTCTTGGTTGTTTTGCTCATGGTTTTCATCATCATTATCTTGAGGTGTTTCATTCTCATGCCGAACTGGAGTTGGTTTATTCCTATTGCTACTTCTCAATCTTGGCTTCTCCGAGTTTTTAATATCTTCAATCGTTTGGTCTTCGAAGAAGATGACATCTATGCTGCGAATAACCTTCTTGTTGATTGGATCCCATAGCCGGTAGCCAAATTTGTCCTTGGGTGAGCGAAGGTATATACACTCCTTTGTCTTTGCATCAAGCTTTGCTCGCTCATCTTTGGGAATGTGAACAAATGCTCTGCACCCAAACACCTTAAGATGATTGTATGAAGCCTTTTTTGCCCGTCCAGACTTCCTCTGGGATGGCGCCGTTTATAGGAACCGATGGTGTGAGGTTGACAATGTCAACTACGGCCATTATAGCTTCTCTCCAAAATGATTTGGGTAACTTAGCATGAGAGAGCACACAACGAACTCTTTCTTCAATAGTTCTATTCATTCTCTCAGCTAGCCCATTCAGTTGTGGTGTCTTGGGTGGAGTCTTCTCTAGCCTAATGCCATATTTCTTGCAATAGGCTTCGAAAGGACCTCTATACTCACCTCCATTATCCGATCGTACACACTTGATCTTCCGGCCGGTCTCACGTTCTACCTGAGCGTGGAATTCCTTTCATGTCCGGGAGGAGATGCTTGCGAGCGAGTATGTGGATTCCCTTCTCACTGATGTGTCCAAGTCGTTTATGCCATACCTCCATGTCATCAGTGGTTATATTTACTTCCCCTTTGCAGAGCTTGGCTTGCATCACGTATAATGATCCTTCCTTCCTTCCTTGAGCCATTACCAGACTTTCTTTAGTGAGCTTCCATTTTCCTTATCCAAAGTAATTCATCAGACCAGCATCATCTAACTTTCCAGCGGAGATAAGATTGAGGCGCATGGCTGGGACATGCCTCACATCTTTCAGAACAAGCTTACATCTGGTGCTAGTTGTCGGGACGATGTCTCCTATCCCAACGATCTTGCTTCTATCCTTGATTCCCATTTGAACCATGCCAAAGTCACCGCTTTGGTAGGATGAGAAGAAACTTCCATGGGGAGTGACATGGAAGGAAGCACCAGAATCGACAATCCAAGAACTATCATCACAAGCAATGTTGAGGATATTGTTAGGACTTTTTCTGGTGTCCAATCTAGTTAGATGTATTTGTATTTGTGTAGTTGTTAGTTAAATGTGTAATATGGGCCACAATTGAATATTAGCCCATTAGCCTCTCTTGTAAGCCATAAGTTAGCCATCCTCTCCTATAAAAGGAGGCTAACTTATGAGAAAACCTAACTAAGGCATAGAGCATAGAGGCAGAATAGAGAATAGATTAGCTTTTACGCTGCTCTCTCTCTCTCTAGAGGGAGAGCAGCGGCCGGTTTACACGGTGTACCAAAGTTCTCGATACTTTGAGATGAATGATAAATCTATCTGCTTCTTCTTTCATTCTTATGATTGTATGATTGTTAGAAATAGGGATCAACATGTGGTATCAGAGCCGAGGCGTGAAATAGATTGGATTTTTCTGCGTTTTTCGGATCTGCAAAACTGATTTCTCGAGAAAAACCACCCATTTTGAAAAACTGATTTTTCGAGATTTTTGGTTTGGCTGATCTGTTTTCAACGATGTTCTTTGATTTCTGGAAGATTAGGATCAAAATCTGTTTGAAAACATTCTCAAAATCTATTTCTGAAGATTTTTTGAAAATGGATTTTTCGATGTTTTGTTGTTTTTGAAGCTTTTCGATACTCAAAGGTTTCGACATTTTGGAGTTTCTCGATGTTTAGTATATTTCGAACTCTGCCTTTTCTCAAAACTCAGGATTTTTCGAAGCTTGATATTTTTGGCAGTTTTCGAAGCTTTAACAGCATTTTTCGATGTTTACAGATTTTCAATGATTAAATAAGTTTTCGAAATTCTGAAGGTTTTCAAAGGAAGTTTTCGATGTTCTGACCTTTTTTGAAAAGGCAAAGTTTTCGATATCCTAAACTGGTACGAAACTCTAAAGTTTTCGAAGTCTTGAGCTTTTCGATGTTAATCTTTGATATCATGTTTCTCGCAGATTGCAGGTCGAAAACAGGTTTCTCGCAGCTGATATTCGAAAACAGGTTTCTCGACATTTGATGTTCGAGAACAGGTTTCTCGATATTTGAACTCGAAAACAGGCTTCTCGCGGATGAACTTCGAAAACACGTTTCTCGCAGATTGAACTTCGAAAACACGCTTCTCGCAGCTTGAACTTCGAAAACATGTTTCTCGACATTCAAATATCGAAAAAGAACTTTTCGATATTCAATATCGAGAAAAAGTTTTCGACATTCAAACATCGAGAAAAAGTTTTCGATACCCATTCATCGAGAAAAAGTTTTCGATATTCATTTATCGAGAAGGCGTTTTCGATATTCAAATATCGAGAAGATGTTTTCGATAGTCAACATCGAGAAGATGTTTTCGATACTCAACATCGAGAAAAAGTTTTCGGTATCCAATATCGAGAAAAAGATCTCGAGATTCAACTTCGAGAACCTCACTTTCGAAAAATTTCTAAAATTTTCATTTTTCAAACTTTTCGATGTCCTGCACTGTTTTGGCCATAACTTTTGACTCGGTGATCCGATTTACACGTATAATACCTTTTCGGAAAGCTCTTGAAAAGATCTACATGAATTCTAGGGGGAACCCCAGAACCCTTTCTCACGCTCCCTCACTCGCCGTTTTTGAGGGAGATATCACCTGTTTTCCGAAATATCACCAAAGTCAAAGTCAAGGTCAAAACTGAGGCAAATCTGGTCAATTCTTCCAAAATCAAACCAAAGTCAAACCAAACGTCAAAGTTGGTCTAATTTACACTGTAAGGTCCGGAACTCGTAGATAATTCAATCAACCTCGCGTCAACGGTCATTTCACAACAATCAACAATCAACTACCGATGCCTCCCCTAACTCATCAACAATGTGTGATCATCACTGTGCTGAATTTCTAGATGATGAGTTCAGGGTAAACCGTCATGTGTGGTACCTGTACAGATTGCTCCATACACATGGCAGGTATATCAAGCTGTGAGTAATCAAACCTTGCACAATCTGAGGGGGAATTACAGTTTTCTCCTCCTGGCGCCACACAACGACAAAGCAAGGATTCTCTCAAAGGATGCAACATTTGAGGGGGAGTTTTCAATTTTACCCTCCTCGGTACCGAACGATGAAAAAGCATACCGAGTGCTTCAGTTGAGGGGGAGTACAGAGAGAAAATGAAGAAACAAAGAGAATGAGAGAGAAGTCCCTATGGCTTAGTAAACCCAACTAAGCCTACCCAAGGGACAAAGCCGAGAGTAAATGAGTGAATGTGTGAGTGAGTGAATACTATGAGCGTTTGGAAGCAGAAGGCTCAAGTGAGCAACAAAACAATATTCAATGATAAGTCTGCTACCTCAACTGCCTACTATCAATTGATCAATTACTCCCAGTCACTCAAATACTCTGGACAATCCCCATAGGTTCAGGACTGAATTTATTCAGATCCCGGGTAGAAGTCACTGCATCTTGTCCAACAGTGCATGCATAACCCTACCCAAGGCCACTCATTTGTCTCCCAACAGACAAGTGTTTAATCATATTTCACGGGGAACCTCATCTCTCATTACTGTCTCCTTCCGAGGCAAGTGATACTCACTACAGTGGCCTCAGCCCCATGCCACTGGACTTTCATTGATCACGCTGTGTCTAGTTATCTCACTCCCAAATGTTTTTGAATTTTCTAGGACACAGACACATTTTTGAGTCAGTTGCAGGTCCAAGTGACCATGCGAGAACTTCCATAGGGCTCATCTACTATAGATAGACCGATGATTGGAAGGAAGTCCTGTTGTTGCAACATAGAAATCACCAACATGTTCAGGCCATCGCTGTAGAGTTTATCTCTATAGTGATGATAACGGGTGTCTACGCGACCTCGGGGGGCTACGATTTCCATTGCTGATCTTCATGATGATCATGCCTTAACAACCAGAGTGACATCTACTTCAGATGCTTCATAATGATTAGTTGGAAGTCCTGTTAGAGCTTTAATGCTTCTATCATTTTATACAGGCCACACATCAGTGTTTACATTGATGTTGTGTTAACGGAACACTTCTGTGTATCCGGTCTTTATCCTTTAACTTTCTGTTTGTTTTCAATTTTGTTTCCCAGAATAAAAGAATAAAGGCATGACGCCCCGATTCATCGGATCGTCATGAGGGGGAGAGTAGTCCACATGTTGTTCACTATCAACAAATCATTTTTGGACACTTTCTCCACTCATTTTTGGACACTTTCTCCACTATCTCTTCTGCTAAATGGCCAAGCCAGCTTCAAGTCAAATGGTCAGCTACGCTCACAAGTCAACTATCTTATTCCGCTGTGCCACTGACGAGATCTCCTCAAAAACAATAATTTTCCGCTGTGCCATGTAAACTTTGAGGAGACAAAGGTCAAGTATTCAAGTCCTGAAGATGAATTCTGTGTGCGCCTGTATATCACCTGAACACTCATTCCAGAGGCGCCATCGGAATACATTAATGCTGATCAAGAGCAACTTCTGAAAGGTAAAGATCACAAGCTACATCCTGAAGATTCTTCAACTCCCCGGCATCAAAGAACAAATTGCCATGAAGACATCAAAGGGGAGATCGCAAGGATTTCTTCAAAAAGCCTTTTCAAGAAGTCGAGCGCAAAGACAAAGGAAGCTGAGCTGCATTGAGGAGCAACTGAACACAAAGACAAAGACATCCGCGCTGCAATGCTGATCAAACAAGATTGAACACCAAGGGGGAGATTGTTAGGACTTTTTCTGGTGTCCAATCTAGTTAGATGTATTTGTATTTGTGTAGTTGTTAGTTAAATGTGTAATATGGGCCACAATTGAATATTAGCCCATTAGCCTCTCTTGTAAGCCATAAGTTAGCCATCCTCTCCTATAAAAGGAGGCTAACTTATGAGAAAACCTAACTAAGGCATAGAGCATAGAGGCAGAATAGAGAATAGATTAGCTTTTACGCTGCTCTCTCTCTCTCTAGAGGGAGAGCAGCGGCCGGTTTACACGGTGTACCAAAGTTCTCGATACTTTGAGATGAATGATAAATCTATCTGCTTCTTCTTTCATTCTTATGATTGTATGATTGTTAGAAATAGGGATCAACAGATATTACCTTCTCCAACGAGATATAGCAGGTCTTCTTTTGCGACTACGACAGTGGTACTCTTCTCTTCTTGCTTCTTCGTTGGGCTGACTTGGTCTGGTTTGACATTACCGGCCTTTTGGTCTCTCTTGAGGGATCGACACTCCATTTTCCTGTGGCCCATTCTTCCACAGTAGTAGCATGTAATCTTCGAGCGTGACTTGGACCTTCCTCGAGATTGATGCAGATCTCGGCTTTTACTACGTCCACGAGTCTCATTCCTACCCCAGTTCTCAATAACATTGGCCTCGGGATGCATAGACTCACCTCGTTCCATTCTCCTTGCTTCTTCACCGATAAGGCTGTCACTAACGGCATCCATGGTGAGCTTTCCTTCCGGGGCTGAGTTACTAAGTGTAACTACAAGAGTGTCCCAACTTTCCGGCAAGGAACTAAGGAGTAAAAGGGCTTGCAACTCGTCATCAATCTTCATCTCAATTTTGATTAATTGATTTATGAGCCCCTTGAAGTTGTTCAAGTGTTCAATCATACTATGACCATCCTTATACTCCAACTTCACCAACCGTCGAACTAAATTGGCCTTATTACGAGGTGTCTTCTTTTGAATCATGGACTCAAGCTTAGTCCATAATTCATAAGCATTTGTGTAAGTCAAAACATGCTCGAAGAGAGATTTGTCAATGTACTTACGGATCATAGCAACGGCCTTCCGATTCAGTAGCTCCCATTGGGCATCACTCTTGCCTTCAACAGTTCAACCTTCTCTTTGTAGATGATGGGCTCATGCAAATCCTTGCAGTATAAATGATCTTCCATCATCGGCTTCCAATATGAGTAGTTGTTGGCGGTGAGCTTGAACATGTCTCCATCATGAGCGACGTTATCCTCCATCTTGAACTGCACGAGCTAATGACAATCTCAGGTGAACCTGGCTCTGATACCACTGTTGGAAAAAAAACACTCCGGACTTTCCCGCTTCGTGAAGTTAAGATAGGCACTTAGGATTCAAGGTAGCAATGGGAGCACACGATTTAAATTCTCCAATATGGAGATTCTTCCACTATACAAAAGAATAGTAGGATTTACAAGGATGTTACAAAATTGTCTCACTCAATGGTGGTTCACTCAAGCTTGAGGATAGGAACTTCCCAAGCTATCTCTCTTCTCTCTCAAAGAGGCTCTCTAACTCTCTAGCTTTCTCACTTTAAGAAGTGGATTCTCTCTTGCTAGGATTGTTAGGAATGGAGGCTCCTACTCCTATTTATACAACTCCACCTCCATAATGAGTGGTGGAGAGTAGTTCTCTAGAATGATCTACACATGACTACCTATTCTAGAGAATTCCAAGGAATCTCTACACCTCACCATTCTCTTCCATATGCTTCCATACTCTTCCATAGGCTTTCGGAAGGTTCCACACATCTCTAGAATATTCTAGAGGATTCCACACTGTTCCACAAGCTTCTAGAGAGTTCTAGACTTCTCTAGGATTCTCCGGAACGTTCTAGAAAATTCTATACTTCTCTAGAAAGCTCTAGAATTTTCTAGAACCTCTCCAATTAAGGAGGGATCCCAACACATTTCAATCATACAAACACTAGGCATTCCCTAGTTTTCACGGTTCTATGACAATTCAATTCAAACTTTTCAACCTAAAGTCATCATTCAACATTCAAATCAGTGACATAGGCAGGCACCTAAATGGGACTGGCTCGGGAAAAAGTTTTTGTTTGGAAAAAAATTAACATAAATTATTTTACACTAATATTTAAGGCATTTTTATAATTTTGACTGGGTTGGGCCTAGTTTCCCCCCTTACTACGCCCTTGATTCAAATCATATTCCACGTACCTAATTTAATTGTCAAAGAAAATTTAAACACTTGAACTTTCCTAGTTAAAAAATAACTGTGGTGAGAAATTGTCATTTAGAGAAACTTCTTACATTCCTAGAATGTAAAAATTCAAAGAAATTGAAAGTTGGAGTAGGTCGGGGAATCTAACACGACCTCATGACCTCATAGCTACATTCATGCATTTGCTCAATTATAATGCAAGCATATTCTTATTGTGATGAAACTCGAAGTTGAGACTTCCACAAAATACATATTTCGACGATGCAGTGCATTTGCTTTAGTTCTAATAAAGTAAATTATTGTAAATTGAAATTGATTTGTAATTAAATTGCTATTGAGTCTAATAATTTAAAACTGACATTTTTATATTTGCCCATAAATTCTAAATTTTTAATTGTTTTAGTAGAACTCTTGTAGAGCCCATGTTAACTAGATTCTGATAATCGGGCGGGTTAAGCATCACATCTCATTATTCCTTTTACATAATAAAAAAATGTACTCTAGTACTAATAGTAAAAGTATAGTATATCTCAATTGGAATTGAATTGTACTTGAATTGCTATTACATCCAATTATTAAAATGACATTTCCAGAATTTGCTATGAAGTTCTAACTAATTATCTTTTAATATCTTATTATTCCTAACTGTTCATATACAATACATACAATCATACTCTGGATTTATAATGGGTCACCTCTAAAAATCCAACAACAATCAATTTGGATATGAAAAAATACAATTACCCCAACTTAGAAAATAAATAAAATATCATATATGAAATAAAGAAAATAAAGATTTTAGCAAATAAAGACTTTATCACATCCAATTATAACTTTTAGATATGAAAAAACAAAAAGAAAAAATGGATCTATTTATGCACAAATGGAAAGAAAACATGAATACTTAGAGCTTGTTTTAGCTTATCAACTAATTTTTTTATCAGACACACACCTTCTAATTTTGTGTGCTGAATTATGTAATAATCAAAATAAATAAGATCAGAATAACTTTCCTGACTGAATTGCTAGAAGTGACTGTAGAGGGCGATTTTAGTTATTTTTCATATTTTTTCTGTATTTATTTATAAAAATAATTTTAAATATAATTTTTCAATAATTCAGTAAATTCAGTCTATTCAGCCAAAACTTCATTAATTTCGACGGATACAACTTATGTAACGGGCTCTTAATTATAATACGACAACCAGGTTTAAATGAGTATTGTTTGGCGCACCATTATTATTAGAAATAATGGCATACGTATTACCCATGGACTTCTTAACGACAAAAACATGACTATTTTTTAGTATTACAAAAATAAGACTTGTGTTTCCATCTATTTGGGCCTCACGCCATTCACCTGCAAATCGACATATCTGCGCCAATCTCCCAAGCTGAGCCTTCATCTCCACAACGGCTGAAGCACCGAGCTGGGAGTGTCGCCGCCGCTGAAATAGTCGCCGCCGCTGAAATAGTCGCCGCCGCCACAGCTGAGAGTCGCCGACGCAACACACCTTTTCTCCTGTTTCGTAGCACCTGCATCGTCCTCGCATCTATTGGATGGATCGGTTTGTTGCAGGTCGCGATTCTCTCCCCTTAAATTCAAACCGCCATCGTCGTGCTCTTGCCCTAGAACTCAATCGCAACGAAGATGTAAACTCATATCATTGAAATGTCAGATTCTGTCAGGTCCGTCGTCGTCGTCCAGATCCGCCGCCGTCTTCGATGGAGCGGTTGTTGCAGGTCACAGCTATGGTTTCTGTGTTGGGGATGGGGCTTGGACGTTGGGGAGGCGCACTGGAGAGGGGCTGGAGCAGGATAAACGAGCTGGTGAGGGGGGAAAGGGCAGGGCAGGGGTAGGGGCAGGGGAGTGGGATATGGGGCTAAGAAGGGGGGTAGTGACTGGAGAAGGGGAAGGGAGGCTGGGAAGGGTGACAGTGGCTAGGGATGAGGGCTGTGGGCTGGTGGTGGTGATGGGTGGGATTACCATGGCAGGTCACTATGCTCGTGTCAGTGAAGTCAGGGCTACAATGGCGGTGTCACTATTGCGATCTCATTGTGACGATGTCACTATGACTGCAGTGTCGTTGGCGGCGGCACGGTGATTTTATTGAGCAGAAAGCGGTCATAGTGACATATTTCACGACGGGCGGTGGCTACAGTGACATAGGTGGTGGCTACACTGACACGGCGATAGCTACATTGACACGGGCGGTGACTACAGTGACACAGGCGGTGACTACAATGACACGGGCGGGGGCTACAGTGACACGGGCGGTGGCTACAGTGACACGGGCGGTGGCTATAGTGACACGGGCGGTGGCTATAGTGACACGGGCGGTGGTTGTAGTGACATGGGCGGTGGCTGTAGTGACATGAGTGGTGGCGGTAGTTACAAAAAAACGAACACGCAGTGACATAAAATTTTTGCAGTTACATCATGTTTTCTAATTGCACATATATAACCTTCTTGATCACTTTTTTGCCCCTTTTTAAAGGTGGTCACTTTTTCGGTAATTGGTTCAAAATTAGTAATATCCAAATAAAAACTTACTTAATGTAATCCTAAAAAAAAGTCTAATTTATCCTTTCCAATTCTTATTAAACTAAATTGAAATGGTTTAACACGAGTCACATGGAAATTGTTGGTCAGTTAATTAAAGCTTCACACAAGCCTCACACACATGCTAATACATGATTATACATCCCATCAAATTTACAGGACGTTTACGTAGTTATAAAAGGAAACCTGAGAATTGAAACTATTAAATACATTTAATAATACTAAGATGAGAGAACGATCAAACAAAAAATACTAAGATGAGAGTAACTAATTTCCTAAAGGTTAGGAAAGCTTCCTAATGTAGAATCACATGTGCAATTATTAGAGATTTTTTTGACATCAATATCCCTACAATCATTAGGAATTCATAGTTTCCTTTATTATTAATAGCATTTGACCGAAACATAAGGCTAACCAAGCTAATCAACTTTTGTTGGTGTCCATTGGATTAAGAATATTAATGATAGATTTTATTCTCATTTCTCTCCTAGGACTTCTTTCACA